CAATGTTTGTTTTTAAAACCTAATGTCTCTAACAGACAAAGTAAATTTTTTTTTGGTATGCATGAAACTACGACAAAAAACATACTAAACCAGGAAATAAAACGTGATCGGCTGTAAGGAAAGCGGAGGACACTGAGTTTATCGAAGAAAACCTGCTACCAACCAGGTTAGCTCTGGGGAGAATGTTACTATGGTAACAGAAAGTTGAGGAAACTGAAAACTGATTTTATTTTTTGGTAAAGGACACTTGGTCTTAAAAATCTCAGACTTTTATGATGAACAAAAGCAAAAAGCTGAAGGATGCAAACGCAAGGAGAATCCTACCAACTAACCACCTCTGGTTAAGCAGATCCACTCCAACAGAAGAGGATATTTCACTAAGCTGAACCTCATTAGTTAAATAAATTTAGGATTCATTTCAAAAGTGATTTTTTTTCCTGGTTAAGAAAAAAAATGGAAGTTATCTGGGAAAATTTGTGATGTTTTGTATATAAATCTTTCGTGGTCTAGATTATTTCCTGATTATGTCTGAGTGCAGCTGCTCACCCAGATTCAGTCTGGATCAACTTAAGGCCCCCGGTTCCTCCTCCAGGGTTGACGGCCAACACACGGGATAAGAAGGTGTTGCTGCAGTGGAAGCGTGACACCTTTCGCCTTAGAGTCTGAAGTGGAGGCAGTGAAGTAGAGTAAACTGCTCAGATCAAGATGTCCTCCTGTCCTGCTTCCCATTAATAAGGTTAGGAATCCACCTTCTAAATATATTAGGTATAAATTACCTGAACCTCTGAAGTTTGGATGATAAATAAACATTTACTATAAACTGAAAGAGCTTTGAATGTTTGAAGATCAACAAAGACAAAAAAACAAACTGTTTTCTTTTCATTTATTTTCTAACAGAAAGAAAAACTGTCAGCTGGAGCCTTGTCTGTCCACCCCCTGCTGGACACATGCTGGTACCGCATCTTCATCCGAATCCCTGCCAAAAAAGAAAACAAAATAAAAATCAATAAAAGCAAGGACATGTTCATCTTTTAGCTTTCTGTATTCAGGTTGGATCGTACCTTTAAATCTCCATGGATGGGGTCAGGACTCCCAACGTGGAGGAAACCTCGGCATCACTGATCGGTTCTGCTGCAGCTCCGACACTTCCTCAGGCTTCAGGTTTGATTTCTAACCTTTAGAGACCAAAGAACAGGACAATAACTCGGCTGTGAAACCTCCTCTGTGCGTCGTGGCGCCGGGATGCTGGTGGTCTTACCGCTGCTGCTCAGATCCGACCCTCAGCCTCCTCTGATTGGTTGAGGCTCCTGGGGTGAGAAGAACACACAGTGAGAGCCTGGTAGTGATTGGTCAGCAGCTTCTTACAGGTTTTTCTCTTAGATTAAAATGAGTGTCTGAAGGGGAAAACTGATAAAGTGAGGGACAGAGGGAGCCGTCATCAACATGGATGAGCTCCTGACTGGACTCTGGGTTCTTAAACGGCGCCGACACACTGATCTGTGTCAGCAGCTGTTTTAGAGTCGTCGGGTGGGCAGGACGGTCCCGGTACAGCAGCTGGAACTAGGGTCCG